GGTTCCCTCTCGGCCACCCCGCGGCTCCCTTGCTTACTTGCGATTGGAATGATGAGTTTTAAGCCTGCAAACCGATTAATGTAAAATAGAAAAGGATTGAAAAGGAATAGGGGAACAAAAATGAAAAACAAAACCTTCTTACCTTGCTTACGTCGGTCTCCACCGTTGCACAGCGTCTCGAGCTGATTCCTCTTCCTCCTCCTTTTTGGCTCGGCCTCCACCACTCCCCCGCCTCCGCCTCTCTCTTCTTTCCTTTTCTTCCCTTGTGGCAGCCGTTCTTAGCTCCCCCTTCACTCTCCCGTTCGGCCACTCTTTTTCCTCCTCTCCCTTCTTCTCCAGCCTCCCTCTTCTTTTCTTTTCTTTCTTTCTTCCTCTCGACTCCCCCGCTCGATGGATCTCCTCTCTTCCCTCTCACCCGATCGGCTCCTCTCTCCTCCTCTCTCTTTTTCGGCTACTCTCCCAAATGAAGAAAAACCCTAAATTTTTTCTTTTTATACCCATTCCCCCAGCCGTTGGATCTCACAAATTCGATCTGGGCCATTCATTTTTCATAAAATCTCAGCTTTTGATCTTTTCAGATGGTTTGATTAGGACAGTCCGTTCCCTGATTTCTTTTTGTCCCCTTCCACTTCCACTTATTTATATTTTCAACCTATTTTTTCCTATTTATTTTCATTTAAATACTTGAAATTAAATAAACTCCAAATTTTTAAAACCCTTCCATTTACATTTCTTTTATTTACTTTAGGCTGGATGTTACATGAATCTTGCATTCCTACCAGATAAAGAATTGATTTGACTTGGAACAGTTCTGTTGGGTTGGTACCGACTGCTAGATAGACAGGAACAAGATAGCTAAAATGGTGGAAAATCAATAATGTGGGTGAGGAGAGACTTGAATATGAGTCTTTGTCCAAGTTGAAAAATGGTACCTCTGAGCTAGACCCACGATTGAAGAAATCAAATGTTTTGAAACAAATAGAAATTATCTGGTCTTTGCCAAAGTTCCTAGTTTCTGGCACAGCAAACATCAGTTTTACTTTAGGAAGCAAACTGGAGATGAATGATTATGGTGCATGAATGGCCCAAGACCTCTTTTTTATCGAAATGAACCATGCTTAACTGGTCATGCAATACCTGTATCATGCTTTTTAATTGAAAAAATATGGCTTCGTTGGATCATTGATTGGGATTTTGTAAGCAGGTGTATCATACTGCATGGCGTGAACTGTGTGAAGGTATGGCAGCAGCTGGATCTCTGGATGAGGTCATAGAAGTGCATGAGGCGTATTTACTATCAATCCAGCGCCAGTGCTTTGTTGTTCCAGACAAGCTGGTTGATTATCAACCTTTCTGTGTTTTTTCGATTTGATTAAATGCTTTGGTTTTCTTTCTGGCTAACCATTATCCAAACAATCTTTTTTTGTGTTCAGTGGGCACTGATTGCAAACCGGATTAACAGCATTCTTGGATTGGCTTTGGATTTTTATTCCATACAGCATATGCTAGGTAGCGACGGAGCAGTTTCAGCAACCAAGGCTAGATGTGAAATGGAAGTGGATCGGATTGAGAAACAATTTGATGATTGCATTGCTTTCCTCCTCAGAGTATCTTTCCAACATCTATTTTTCTTTGAATCCTTGTGTTCAAACTGTATTCAGGGGTTAATATTTAGCATGGGCATAGTGTAGCGTTCTCAAATGGTCAATAAAATATGCATTTATGTCCAAATACAGCATGCATTAACTTCATTGCTAATGAAACGTCGTGCCTTGATCGTGCAGGTTCTCTCTTTCAAGCTCAATGTGGGAAACTTTCCTCATTTGGCTGATTTGGTTACTAGGATTAATCACAACTACTACTACATTTCTGATAGTGGGAACCCGAAAATGTCCTTGGTTCCAAAACTGTCCCATTATGACCGGGAAAGGTCTTTATGAGTCGAACAAACTGTAAATAGGGTGTGTGGGACACTTTCCCCTCTCAAGCTCAATGGGTGACACTTCTTTGGCGGATTTGGTTACTAAGATTAATTACACAACTACTACATGCCTGATAGTGGAAATCTGAAGACTTTCCCTGGTCCCAAAGGTCTTTGTGAGTTAATGCCATGGCATTCTTTGTGTTAATATAGTGTGTAGTATTTGTTGTATGGCGGCTCAAAAAGCACATGGCGTGTTTTCAACCTTGAGTTAGTCAATAGGTTGATAATGGGAAGGTAAAGAGTTATAGAATTTACTAGGATGTATATTTTGAGGGTTCTGTGTCTTTTGTTTTTTCTTTTTTGATGTCGCTTTTGGTTGCCTAGCAATTATTGACGGAAGTATTGAATTTCAGTTGCATTTAGTTTGATGGTGGTTCCTAAATTTTTATGAAAATATTCTCCTCTCGCAAAACCAATGATTGTTGCAGCTCCTATTTGTTGTAGTCAGGTAGATTCCCCCGCTTTTTCTACTATTTTCTCGTTGAACATTCTCCGAGACAACCAATTGTAGAATTGAAACATGAAACCATGAGCCTAAAGGATAAAACATAGAACTATGAGTTTGACAGCAAAAATGTCAAACTTTAATCACCATATTTGAACTTTTTTTTAGAGCTAGCAATTTTAGATGAGACTTCAAGTACTAATTTCTTGACATTTTATTCATTAAAAATGTTTGTTATACATATCATGATTTCTTCTTTTTTTTTTTGCTCGGTATATAAGATTCATTGACCTTATACATTGCTATAAATCTCGGCAATGATGCAAATATTCAATTGTAGAGTTTTATGAACACAAGTCTGTTGGAAATTAAATCGGTATGTATTTATTATCAGTAATAAATGTTTATGTTTGGGGTGATTATTTCACAATTTATTTACAAAGAATAAATTATATACTATACAATCAATGATATATATATATTTTTTTTCTAAAATAGTGTAATTAGAAACAATCAACAATTGGTATAACCAATCCAAAAGACTTTCCATCTATATTGGTACAAGATGATTCAGCTGCTTCATCAAAATATGTCAACTTGACGTTTTGAACTCGTATGCCTGTGCATGGATGAGAGGAACTACAATCGAACTTTATAGCTATTGGTGTTGCTGATGTTCCTTGAATATCTTGATACGTAATGTCTCTAATTTTTACGCCTGATACCTATTATAATAATTAAAAAAAATTATTAGAACTCTTTTTTAACAATCAAATAAATATAAATAAATAGCTCTTAAACATTTGAAAAGCAATCTTATGGTTAATTTTATTACCTGGTTGGGACAATTCTTATTGTGAGGGCAGTAATTTTGATCGATTATAATTGGATTTTCCACATTTTGCATTCTGCAGCTTAGAAACCGAATTCCCTGAACAAAGCCTGTACTGGGTCTGGCCCATGCTTTTATTCTCAGCCCATTTGTGGTACCAGCAAATACTGTCTGCTTCACTGTCACATTTTGAACTCCTTCCTCTTCAGCATCTTTGCCTAGACTTCCGATGCTGCACAATTATATTAATTTCACAATCAATAAATTTCCATTTTCATTTTCATTTTCTCATTATATAACGTAATAGAAAAGTATAGATATCAGGGTAGTGTACCTAATTCCATGGCCAGGGCCGCATGCGACTCGCTGAATCCATAGATTCTTGGTACCAGGACCGATGGAGATGCAATCATCACCAGTTTTTATGGTAGAGTTGAAAATGCCTACATCTGTTGATTGCTGGACGTGGATGCCGTCGGTGTTCGGGCTGTTTCCGGCCGCTATGACTTTCACTCCTTCAACTTTCACGTTTTGGCACTTGTTGATCACGATGTGGAACATCTGGCTGTTCAACGACATTAACCCTTTGATTCTAATGTTGTTGGAGTTTGTGAATCTCAATGTCTACAATTCAACCATTCATTTCCAGTTAAATCATCTAATCACCCTTAAGTCATATGGTGTGTGTGTATATGTAAAAATATATATATAGAAAATATATGTATTTATGCAATTACCGTGGCTCCCAGGTCAGAGCAGTTCCCACCCGCAGCCTTGCAAGCCCACAAGTCGGATCCTTTGGCATCGAGTTTTCCGCCGATGATTGAAACTCCGGTAACCTGATTGAAGCTGAGCCAGTTTTCAACCTGAAGAAGCACCCGGTAATCAGGTGGAACCATCAGCGTGCCATCAATTCTAAAAGTGATGTCATTTGTTTTGCAGTTTTCTCCTTTAAACTGCAGAGAACCCAGCAAGTACCTTCCTTTGGGGACGTATATCATGGCTGAATCTGAAGCTCCACATGCCGCATCCCATACCTCCATGAAAGCTTGAGTGGAGTCTGTTTTACCATCTGGCTTGGCCCCGAAGCTCAACACGTTAAGAGACGTTGTTGCAGATGGTAGTAATGGTGGGTTCATGCACAAAACTAGAACAAGTAGAGTGATGAAGTTGTAAAGACAAGACGGAAACCATTCTGCCATTCTTGAATGTTATTATGGGTTAGCTAATAGGAATGAGTAAGATATATTAATATTGGAGAAATTAAGTAAGGGAAGTTGAAGAGATGAAGGACGTTACAGTAAATGTTTATCGTCGCTGATGATGAGAACTAAGTTGAGTTGAATCTATATTTATAGAGGGTGTATAATGATAGAGGAACGAAATGAAAGAAAAGACTTAAGATGAAGAAGAGAAATACATGGATGGTGTAGGTTTTAAGAATGGCAGAGGATTATCAACGAAATGTAAAATGTAAAGAAAGCGGCGCGCCGTCTATTTGCATGCATGTACTACTTCGGTCATACTCAAACTAGATAGCCTACGTGTTGCGCCAACTTTTAATATATATATATATATATATTATAAAATCGGGGGCATTTGACTTCTTTTATGCACTTCATATATACATAAAAAATTTAAATTTATTAAAAATTTTAAACAAATTACAACTAAAATAGTATTATTGCCTACACCATAACCTAATTTTAAACAAATTACAACTTAAATTATTTTGAACGAAAATATATTTTTTAAACTAATTTAACATAAGAGTCGATCTTAATAACATATAACCACTAGCTAATTCTTAAGAAATCAACAGAAAAAATAATTTTTATATAATCATAAATTAGTCTTAATTAACACGGTTACCATGTTAATTTTATTTAAGACTAATTGATTATAAAGAAATAGTTTACTATTTAATTAAGAAGAAATATAACTTTTATGTCTTGATTAAACTTCTAAGAAACTCAAAACATACTCCTAAACATTGAACAAAGTCTAATGTACTGTCCTCTCCTCTCAATAAAACCATATATATATATATATTTAATTTTTAAAGAGAGAAAAAAAAAAGATTAAGGAGGTAAACACAAGCTGTTAACGTAAAGATGGATTAATCACTTCAGGACTGAGTTGGATAGTGAAAAGAAATTGGGAATTACATCTATATATATATATATATATATTTGAACCATAGTTAAGCATGAATATAAAATAAGTATATATTTTATATTTGTTTGTCTTTTTGTCAGTACAAAATATAAATAAATAAAATTTTAAGTTAAAAATATTTTGGCAGATTTGCAAAAAACAAAATAGCAAAATTATATATTTTTTAGTTATTTTGATATGATTAAAATTTATAATTTATACCTTTAATAAATATGTAAATAAATTAATATAAATAAACTCATGTTAGCCAAACATCATTAAATCCTATATCACGTTCCCCCCCCCCCCCCCCCTAATTATCCCTTACATCTAATATTACATATATTGTGGTAGTACTATATATATATATATATATATATATTACATCTAATATTACATATATTTTGGTAGTACTATATATATATATATACTAGAATCTAATACTTCATGTGCAGTTAATTTAATACAAATTTCATTTAAAACCGCAACGAAAGTTCCAAAATTCTAAAAAAAAAAATTTCTTTTCTTAAATTATAACAATCTTGATAACCCCTAAAATATTTCAGTCTACGTAACTCTCGTAAATATAACATTTTAATTAATAAGGGAAGACTTCATGGATGGATTAATTATTAGTTCACAATTTAATAGCAACGCCGTACGGGGTTCCTCTTGCAAAATGAAGGCTCATCGTGTCTTATGTGTATACATATTATATATATATATATGTACGTATGTGTTCAGTTTGGAGGATAGTATTATAAATAGAAAATATTCAATTCAAACTCCCCTCCTAAAAGAAAGAAATGAAGTAAAAATTATAAGTTGGCGACCGCGTACGCTCTGAAGTAGGAAGAAAGTAACAGCCGCAGCTTTCTTCAGATTCCATTGCAGTCTCCATTCTCTCCCTCTAAAACCTTACTATCGTGTATGTATACATATATACATACATACATATATATATGTATATATATCTTGGCTTGTCCATATTCAACTTATATAATTAATATGACTTCCGAAATTATATCTTCTTGTTGCAGTATCATTTACACCCTCCTCCTCCAACATGGCAGAAGGGTTTCTCTTATCTCTTCGCCCTTTCATTACTCCCATTTTCACTCTACTGTTGTTGTGGATGAACCCACCATTACCATCATCTGCAACGTCGTCTTTTAACGTGTTGAGCTTCGGCGCCAAACCCGATGGTAAAACAGACTCAACTCCAGCTTTCACGGCGGTATGGGAGGCGGCGTGATATACGTCCCCAAAGGAAGGTACTTGCTGGGGCCTCTGGAGTTTACACGAGACAAATGCAAAACCAATGACATCACTTTTAGAATTGATGGCACGCTGGTCGCTCCACCAGATTACCGCCTGCTTCTTCAGTCTGAAACTTGGCTCAGCTTCCATCAGGTTACCGGCGTTTCAATCGTCGGCGGAAAATTCGACGCTAAAGGCTCCGACTTGTGGGCTTGCAAAACTGCACGAGGCAACTGCTACGATCAGGGAGCCACGGTAATTGCATGCATACATATACTTTTTATTATATCATATAACTCAAGGTGGGTAGATGAGTCGAGTTGAGTGAAAATGGTTGATCAATTGTAGACTTTGAGCTTCACAAACTCCAAGAACATTAGAATGAAAGGAGTACTGTCATTGAACAGCCAAATGTTCCACATTGTGATTAATCGATGCGAGAACGTGAAAGTGGAAGAAGTGAAAATCATAGCTGCGGCGAACAGCCCAAATACCGACGGCATTCACGTCCAACAATCAAAAAATGTAATCATCTTCAACGCTTCCATCAAAACCGGTGATGACTGCATCTCCATGGGCCCTGGTGCCAACAGCTTGTGGATTGAGCGAGTCACCTGTGGCCCTGGACATGGTATTAGGTACCGTCTCATCTCTTATGTCATGGTCTGGTCGTAGTTTAATCCGTACGAAAATGGTTTGTGGAATTAGTCAAAAATATTTTAGCTTTTTTAAAAGTAAGAGAAACAAAGTTAAATTTTAATTTAATTACAAGTGGTTCCAATGGTGCAGCATAGGCAGCTTGGCGAAATATGCAGAAGAGGAAGGAGTAGAGAATGTAACAGTGAAGGGAACAGTTTTTGCGGGCACTACAAATGGGCTGAGAATTAAGTCATGGGCCAGGCCCAGCACTGGTTTTGTAAGAGGAATCCGTTTTACAGATGCTAGGATGCAATACGTCAAAAACCCTATTATCATCGATCAAAATTACTGTCCTCATTACCTAAATTGTCCCAAACAGGTACTATTTTATTATGTGATATTATAAATTATAATTTAGGGATCAAATGTAAAAATCAGAGATATAACATACAAAAATATTCGAGGAATATCAACAACGCCATTAGCTGTAACATTTAATTGCAGTCCGAGTTCTCCATGTACAGGGATAAGAATGCAGAATATTAATTTGATCAGATGGCTGAATCATCATGTGCAAATCTAAATGAAAAAATATTTGGATTAGTTCTACTGATTGTTAATTGTTTATGATTAATTTAATATTATATTCTATTATGTTATAAGTAATTTTTTAATTTTTATTATTAAATTAGTGATTATGCAGCAATAGATGATGTTAATCATAATTCTGAATGTCTTGATTTAAAATTCAAAAATGTACTTTACACTTGTTCAATTTAAATATTTTGATTTTTTTGAATATATAAATATTTCATTAATGTTAATAGTATGTAATTCGGATGCTTTTTAATATTCTTGCCATCAAGTTGAGAACTTAATTGAGTTCAAATTTATTCTTACGTCACTATTTCATTTAACATACGATGTCGTTTCCACATATTGATTGAAAATAAAAATATTGCTTTCCGTTGCCGGGACTTGAACCCGGGTCTCTCGGGTGAGAGCCGAGTATCCTAACCAACTAGACTACAACGGATTGTGCTTACCGAGACGACTTTAATTTATTTAAACATAAGTCTTGTTTTATGTATTTTCCCTCTTTTTTTTTTTTGTTTGTCTTCTTACCCTTTTCTCGTGTATAAAACCAAGAGAATGAGGATCCTCGTACACCAAACTATGGAAGCTCAAGGACCTCAATCTTTTATCAAGCTTTTACTTGAAACACCCACCACTTGTACACCACTCTTACATATATAACATATATATGTATATACGACCACTTTTGGTACAAAATTCAGTACATCAAAATCTATCCCCCCCCCCTCCCAAACCCAAGGATCCAAATGGGGTTTTTTTTTTTTTGTGCAGAATGCATGGTTGCCAGATTATTGTAAGTACCAATTTTAATTATATGTAAAAATTTGATAATTATGGAATATTTGGCTTTGATGTTTTCTTGCTATAAAATAACTAAGGAGAGTTATTAAAAAAAGATTGACATTTTCGTATAAAGATGCATATGTATAGGGAAATAGATGTGTATTTATATATATATATATGCAGTTATGACAACCATAAATAAAGCCCGGCCGTTAAACGTGGGAGGGTAACAAGTCAAAGGGTCGACTGAAGGAACCATTGGAATTGAAGAAAATTTGCTAAAAAAAATTGTTGTGGGAATCAAAAAAGCACATGAACAATAAGCAACTCCACAAACTTTTGAGCCAATTAAGTCAAATATTTATATGGGTTTGTACCAGAAAACACTTGTTACTTACCATAAACGTGTAATTAAATACCACATAAATACATCTATTTTACTTTAATTATAATGCCAAACAGCAAGGTTCTATTTTATATATAAAATAACTTTCTAATTTTTGTTTTTAAAATTTACATATATTTTCAGATAAAAATATTTATATATTTTTATACATTAATTTGACTTTGATTCTGTGTATATATATATATTGGTTAAATTTAAAAATAACTAAATCGGTATAACAATTGTAACATGCAATGATAATCACAAATCATATTTATAAAAAAAGAAATAGTTAAAAAAAATCATAAATAACAACTTATATAATAAAAATGATCATACATTATCAAAAGAGCATGTGACTATCTAAGATAATATATATATATATATATATATATATGATAATACATAATCCATGCTAAACTATCAGTCCTAATTATAATTAGTTGTGTGTTTTTAACTTTGCACTATGGTCATTCTTGTAATAAATTTAGTAAATATAAATTTATTTTAATTAGAAAAAATATAAATTTATATAGAAACGGTAAAATTCAATTTAACATAATGAAATTTCACATGGAACCAAAAATAATATATGAATTTCAAATTTCTTCAATTTGAATGCATTACACCAAATATGTGAACTTACAAATAAATTTCATAAAAATTTTAGTTGTCTTATAAACATATAATTCTATATAATATGCAACGAACTGAAAGATTAATATTAAATTGATCATCATACATGAGAAACACAAATTCGTTAAACATATGTATACATATATATATATATATATATGCACTTGGTAAGTAATTAGAAACTCACGCTACTATGGTTGACAAGAACACAATGTGTTTCAAGTGTAATAATCAACAGTTGCTCCCGCAGAAAATTTGAGGAGAGAAAATGATTTCAAAAGCATTTGAAATGGTTTATGTTCATGCATTGCTGCTCTATAAATACCCAGGCACACCACCTTTCAAACACATCCCTCTTTACTTAGCAAGCACTGAATTAACTTCTTCTTCTTCTTCTTCTTCTTCTTCTCCTTCCCTTTCTCTCTCTCTCTCTCTCTCTCTCTCTCTCTCTCATATACAAACACACACATAAACACATATATATTTACTTACATAAAATATAACATCTAGTAACAGATGGCTAGCTTGAAGAAGCTCATTTTAACTGGTACTTTTGTCATAATGATAATTGTTTCTTATGGATTAATTGTGTCGACAGAGGCAAGCAGACCTCTTTTGAAGGAAGGTAGGGAGCTTAATCATGCAAACCTGAGCCGCAAAGCTGTGGGTGGACGAGCAGCTGCGACCTTCCCACAAACGATGCATGCACCCGATGCGCCCTACATTGCCGCTGAGACCGACAACTTCCGCCCAACTACTCCTGGCCACAGTCCAGGTGTTGGTCACACTGTCGGATCTTCAAGTCACTACTCTTTATAGATTATATATATATCCATTATTATTAATTATCTGCCAAAAAAAAAATTCTACATCCATGGATTATGATAATGATTGATCTAATTATGTTTTTACAAAATAATTTTAACTATTTAAACGTCTCGTGTATTTATTGTAATTTAAAAATGTAATATAAATTAATCAATTATTATTCAGTGAAATGGTTGGTATTTTCTCTTCATTTATAAAATATTATAAGTTTTTGTTAGATTTTATTTTTATATATTTTCATTTAAAGATTGTGTTATGTTTATTATTTATGCATCATCTAATTGATAAATTCATAAAATTCAACTAAAAAAATATTATATAAATTACTAGTATTCCATATAGTGATATAAATTAAACTTTTAAACCGTTTCCTTCTAATTCTGGACTATATATGTACATATTTAAAGCAAATTACTAAATTAGTTTCTCAAATTTTATACTTATTATAATTTAGTTCATGATTTTTTTTTTTGTTACGATTTAGTCTCTGAAATTCTTTATTTGTTTCAAACTGTCTAACTTTTTTTTTACTACTTCCTAATAATTTTTTTTTTAAACAATTAGATCCTGTCTTTATATTTTGAAAAATAACTTCAAAAAATGAACTTAACTAATTAATTTAGTTAATAATAATAAAAGAACCTAATATTATTATTAATTTATAATTAAATTAATTAGTCAAAATCATTCGCTTAAATTATTTTTAAATCATTCAAATATGATATAACTATTTTAATCCTTTCTGTTAAGAGATGAAAAAAAATTTAAGTATTTAAAACAAATAAAAAATATAAAAATTAAGTTGTAATAAAAAAAAATATTAAATACCAAGTACTAAATTTCAAAATGTAATTTGATAATTTACCCTATAATTAATCCACTAGGATAATAGATGTTCTTCCTTTAGCTTATCTTTTGCTAATTTTAGCATTCTTGATAATGAAAAATGCAAGACTTTACCAAGCGGACATAATTAGGGATGACAAAGAAAACATAATGCTAGATCAAGTAAGATTTAGTTTACAAAAAATTGCTCAAATCCAATCTAGTTATATATGTACATATATATTATATTATATTCATTTTTTTAATTAAAATATATAATATATTTCTTAGTTTTATTTATATATAATACATTTTTTAAAAAAATTTGATACATACGAAAAATTTAAATTTGTCTTTAATTATTTATCTCGTTATTATAGATAAAATAATACGAGAATTTTTTATAGATAAAATTGGACATTTCAATATGATAATAGAAATAATGAATGAATACTAATTCAAAATAATACAATTTAATTTGGACAAAATTAATATATTATATTATATTATATACATAAAATTATTGGTATCAAAATGGTGGATCGGGCTGGCTCGATCTATGACTTGTAGTGGACGGATTGGGCTGCCAAAACCTAATAAAAAGAACAATTTCCCAGTATGGTAAAACTATAAACTTTTCTTGGCAATCAAACTGAAATATTAATTATGTACCGACATTTAATACAAAATTTGTTGTTTTCATTGTTTGATTGTATCTTGACAAGTCACCGTAATGATGATTAAGTAAATATAAAAAGATATGAACTGGTAAGAGACAGCATTGCAATTTGTATAGTTTCTTAGAACTTTTTTTTTTTTTTTTTTTTGAAAAAAAACAAATGCAAAATCTGAGAAATATCTACAAGAGCCCAAAAAAGCAAACCCAGGCAGCTGGCGGCGGATCCAGGAGAGAGAGTGGAAGGAGTATCACATGCGCACGATTGAAAACAACGGCCAGGATTGAACCCCGCCTCACAATCCAACGGCTAGAGAATCAACGCGTCTACAAATCCCACCCATCATCCTCAAAAACATAAATACTCTTTCCTGGACCCTAGCCCTGTCCTCTCTTTCTCTCTCTATACAACTCAGGAAAACTCAGATTCACGCTCTCTCTCTCTCTCTCTCTCTTACCAGCCAAACGCCAAACATTCAAATTTCTTTTCCTTTTCTTATTTCAATTCCTTTAAAATCCGTATTTATTGCTTTCCTGAGGGAGTGAAGCTAATAAAAACAAACAAAGATTTGGAAGGGATAAACAAAGGAATATATTGTAGATAAGATGCAAACCAACGGCTCTGATTCGCAGCAGGGACAGGGGCAGGAGCAGAATCAAAGGCAACAACAAGCGCAGCCGCAACAGCAGCAGTGGATGGCGATGCAGTACCCTGCTGCGGCGATGGTAATGCAGCATCAGATGATGCCGCCTCAGCATTACGCGCCGCCGCCACCTCCGCACTACTTGCCCTACCACCAGTACCAGCATCATCCGCCTTCTCTCCCGCACGTACAACACCCCCAGCAGCATCAACAGCATCAAGGATCTAGCGGCGAAAATAAGACCGTTTGGGTCGGCGATTTGCATCACTGGATGGACGAGAATTATCTCCACTCCTGCTTTGTTTCCACTGGCGAGGTCCAAGCACTTCTCTTCTCTCCCTTGATTACCTATTAGTAATACATGTGGTATACATGATATTTATGTGTTTTTATATTTGCGTGCATTGATGAGCCAATTATTAATCTTATGATATTGTTATTGGCAATTGTTTCTCTCACGTGAACTGTGTGAGGTTTTCATTGACAGGTTGGGATTTTATCTTAACAACTTAGTTCTTAACTTTCTGAGCGTAGGGTATTGTATTATTATTATAGACGCAGTTCCTATGCTGTATATGAGTTTGGAATGGTATACATTCAGAATGTTTGGAAAGAATTCTTACTAACAGTTTTGAGTTGTATGGGATTGGAAAGTTGAAAAAAGAAGTTATTTTTTTGTAAAATTTCCAAGCAACGGTGCAGATTATATCGATAAGCTTGGGGTTTCTATTCTACTTTCTAATTTGTGCTATGAGTTTTAAAGTATTGTTGAATTCATAAAAGGTGTCTTTAGTTAAAAGCTATTTGGTGTTTGGTTGAAATAAATTGTTACTTTGAAAAACAAAAAATCTGTGCCTAGTGAAAATGACTTTTGAGATTTTAAGTGTAAACTTTTAATAAAACCCAGAAACATTTTCTAAAACCTAAATATTGTAGATTTTGTTCCAAAACTGTTAAAAAATAGATTCTGATTTTGACTTTTGCCAAAGCATTTGAACTTTACTTGTTTAATTGCAGAAGTTCTTTTGAAACGCAAAAGTCAAAGCTAAAAGTCTAACCAAATAGGACCTAATATGAACTTAGCTTTCGTTGTTATATTCTATAGGTGGTTTTTTTGAAGCTTTCAGTGTAAATGAGAGTAAAGAGTCTTTTCCTTTTTCCAGTTTGTGTGTGGGACTCATTATTTGTTTCAGATTAATGCACCTATAGACATAAGGATGAGTTAAGTAATGGATAAGAGTTGAGAAAGCAAGACATATCCGGGGGGATTGTTGTTGCTTGCATATATAAACTAGCATTTCTTCTACTGCATTTATTGAATGTAGATCAGAGTTCCAAGAGCCCAGGATGGAACATTTCCCTCGACAAACAACAACATGATACTCGTATTTATGCTTTGACATCAAGATATCTTAATCATACCTAGGTTTATATTTTTAAGGAAGATAAACTCCGAAAAGATTATTTTGGAAAAGATATACGTGTATATGTAAATGTTTCCATTTTCTTGTTATAGATATTGAAATGCAGTAATGCTTATGAAGAAATACTACCTTTGCTTATGTGGAGATATATTTAAATCTTGATTTCAAACAGTCTGATTGTATATAATTTACAGCCATATATGGATACTGTGATATTTTTCCTCTAACATCTTCTGCTCTGACATTATCCAGATTGCCTCTATTAAGGTTATTCGAAATAAACAGACTGGTTTATCAGAGGGCTATGGGTTTGTGGAATTTTTTTCGCATGCAACAGCTGAGAAAGTTCTACAAAACTATGCTGGCATTTTGATGCCTAATACAGAACAGCCTTTTCGTCTGAACTGGGCAACATTTAGCACGGTTGACAAGCGCTCAGATAATGGCCCCGATCTTTCTATTTTTGTAGGAGATCTTGCTGCAGATGTTACCGATAGCTTATTGCATGAAACTTTTGCTAGTAGATATACTTCAGTTAAAGCTGCCAAAGTTGTCTTTGATGCTAATACTGGTCGATCAAAAGGTTATGGTTTTGTGAGATTTGGAGATGATAATGAAAGAGCAAAGGCCATGACTGAAATGAATGGTATATATTGTTCGAGCAGGCCTATGCGTATTGGTGCTGCAACTCCCAGGAAATCAACAGGATATCAGCAACAATTTTCTTCACAAAGTATTGATTATTCCACTTGTTTTGATAATCTTTTTTTCTGGATGATTGCTAATATTGTTGCTTCCAATTTTTTTTTTTTTAATTCTCATATAATAACACAGTTTCTTCTCTGATAGTGTTACCATATGCATGCATTTGGAATCTACTGCTCATTTTGTTCTCAAACATAAAGAACAGAAAAGGAATTTCTCAGTCCTTTTCTATCTCATGCTTTCATGTGTGCCCAAAAACATTCATGATGATTTTTTACGCAGAATGGATTTATCCTTTGTAATTATTTTTCTTTTAGATCTAGAATTGTTGTATTACTTAGGAGTCTTTTTATAGTTCTGTAATATTAGAATATTATTTATACTTCCAATTTTTCAAAGTTTTAAATTTTCTGTTAGGATTCTTTAATTATAGTTCAATCACGATTTTTATATTTAGACATTATAACCTTCTTACTTTTAGTCCTACGATCAAGCCTTTTTTTTTTTTAAAGAAAAAGTTAAAATAAATTAGAATGGCACCAAAAGGAGTACCCGCCTGTATACAAAAGAATTTACGGAGACGTAAGGGTATGAATGACATCCCCAAAATCTTCATCACTAGTGATGTCATGCCCAGTATACAAGACCCAAAATATTTAAACCACCTATCTCTAAGTTTGTATTTTTCAACTTCTGTACCCTCAAAAACTCTAAAATTTATCTCTTTTTAAATGACCCAAAAAATAGTCAAAGGAATAATCTTTACAATATTCTTTGTATAGTGAATCCCACCCCAAGCCCAAACTTTTGCCATCACCGATCAAGCCTTTATTGAAGGGATTTTTGTGAGCATTTTCTCAATATCCAGATTGCCTGATGCAATCATGTCTAATATGTGATGCTTAAGAACCCCTTAATTACGTAGACCCTTCTTGTGATATCTAAGTTTATACTAATCCCGAAGTGGGCAAGCATTTCCCCAACGATTCCTACATCTTTTTGGTTCTTTCTCTGCTTTCATGCATGGAAATGATTGAGCTCTATCATTGCCTCTCTTTTTGAATGCATGATTGATGCGTCAGTGGCTTATGCTAAGCATGTATTCTAGGATATATTGATTCCACTTGTACAGATATTTTGTATGAAAGGAGACTGTTTCTGTATCTTTAACACTTGAAGCTTTCTGCAATGTCGCTTAGGCCATGCTTTTCATGTTGACGGAGTTGTATGCATTAGTGTGCAGAATTTTGGAGGTTGCAGCTTTATGTCCATTTCAATTAGTGTGCAGAATTTTGGAGGTTGCAGCTTTATGTCCATTTCAATTAGTGTGCAGAACTTAGGGATATGGGTTAAAAGCATTTCCCTGGCTGTTTTTCAACTGTAACTTATAATCTCTGTTTGGGGACGCAAGAAAAGAAGTTCTGATTTGTTTAGTGTTCCATATTGCTCTGTATGTAATCTATCCAGAGTTTGGGCAAGCTGAGTATAATATTAGAATTTTGTACAGCAACACAGCTCTTGAATGAGAGAATCTATAAGGTTTAATATAGCGTTCTGGATGGGAATCCTATGAGCAGAGCATGTTGTCTGCAGTTACAAAACAGGGTAGCTACTGATGATGTAGCCAACTTTGAGCCAAGCCATGGGTATTCTAGTCTTGGGGTTTTTCTTTGAAAACATGATTTAACGTGGATTGAGGAATGTCTCCTATAAGTATGGAATTCTCTCAACTCTAATCAATAGGGGATAGAGGAACCTTTCATATACCAACAATGTTATTCTTGCCTTCCTCCTCTTTTCCGACCTTCACAAGGTTTGGTGACTGGCAGGATTTTGAGTCTGGCTACTTATGTAGGATATATACTTTTTTATGACAATACCTATATTTGCTTATTTTTGTGGTTTTGGAGGCGATAAACCTCACCAGACGTGTCTTTTACATTCTTGAAAAGTGAAGGTGGTTTGTCCATGCAACGTATAACATAGATTGTTCTAAATTGGTATTTTGTTGCTTTGCTTTCTTTCAGCTGGTGGATTAAATGGCACCTCAGGCCAATCTGATGGAGATTCTTCAAACACAACAGTAAGCTCGAATTAAGTTTGTGGTTTTAACATTAAGGTTGCTTTTGGTTCATTTCCATTCAATTCATAGTTTTGATTTTCATATCAAGCTTAATATGCATAACTAGGAAATTTCTAAACTATTGTGTTTGATTTATCGTCACCTCCTTGAATTCCCTGATGGTAAGAATGTAATCCTTACCTTTTTAAGTGGGGGTTGAATGTCCATATAAAAAATTCGATGTGGAGATGATAGTAACCCAAGCACGTGGAACTGTGTTTAAATTATACATGTTAACATCAATACTAGAATTAGAACTAGAAATTAATTGGGATTGAATGAGATATGAATCAAACATCATGTAAGTGCTTTACTTTTATGCATTTACAATATGTTTTTGTTGTAGATATTTGTTGGTGGCCTTGACCCTAATGTCACTGATGAAGATCTGAGGCAAGCTTTTGTGCAGTATGGTGAAATAGTCTCAGTTAAGATACCAGTAGGAAAAGGATGCGGCTTTGTACAATTTGCCAACAAGTAATACTTACTGGCTTTATTTCTTTTCTCTGAAGTAATGGTTTGCTCTGATTCTGCTATAACCATCTGACTTTTCTTGGCAGAAATAATGCTGAGGAGGCATTGCAGAAGTTGAACGGGACTGTTATTGGGAAGCAAACAGTTCGCCTTTCTTGGGGTCGGAATCCAGCAAATAAGCAGGTTTTCCTCCTCTCCACTCTTCCTAAAATTGGAAATCTAGTAATAGCCCCTATACATGTGAATACCTATTGAAAGTTTAATTGAACTTTTGCGATGACTTCATCTGAAGAATTTGAGCTGGCATAATTTTGCTATGCTACCCTGTTTTGCTTAATCAGCACTTTGTGGTGTGGCAGTTTAGGGGAGACTTTGGCAACCAGTGGACTGGGGCATACTACGGGGGGCAGATCTATGATGGTTATGGCTATGCTCTGGCGCCACCTCCTGACCCAACCATGTATGCTGCAGCTTATGGGGCTTATCCTGTGTATGGTAGCCATCAACAACAAGTAAGCTGAATGAATGTTCCGAAGTCGTAAGTCTATGATGGTTATGGCTATGCTCTGGCGCCACCTCCTGACCCAACCATGTATGCTGCAGCTTATGGGGCTTATCCTGTGTATGGTAGCCATCAACAACAAGTAAGCTGAATGAATGTTCCGAAGTCGTAAGTCTAGTAATTAGACGATATAATGCTAGAGGGAGCAAATCGGCTCCATTTCTTGGTTCTGTAGAATTCTTATAAATCCCTCCAGCTGTGGATGGAACTGAATTTTGACGACCTGAGGTAGTTTTTAGGGATTTGATTGATTATTTGTTTAATTTTACGTGATTTGAGGAACCTTTAACTATTGGAATGCACGATTTTGCTGGTATCTCACTGTCTGTGGTGTGTGCTTCGCGAATAAAAGATGCTCGTTCTGTAGGATTTTTGTGTTAAATGCTGAGGTTATTGCAGACATGAATTATGCTGCTGGTATGCTTATATATATAAAGCTTCCTACATTCTTTCTTTTTAATTAAAAAGTAGCTTCCTGTGAGCAATGCCTTTGTTATCATAATTATACACGTTCATGTTTATTATCACGTGGAGACCCGGGGGGGGTTGGGTTTCAATGAAACTCAAAGTTTAAGCTGAAATGGTTTTGTTTTATGAAATGTGAAAAGAATTAGAATTGCAGTGGAATGATACAAATGAGAAATAGTATACAATTATATTTTATGTTTGGTCAATTAATAAATAAGAATGGCTTTCCAATTTCAGCGATTAAAAATTGAATGATGATGGAGTTCAAAAATTACCTCCAACTTTTTTTATAAAAAAAATTATTTTAAGAAAATATCAAAACAATTATTGAAATTATCTTAAATATAAAGTATAAAATAAAATACTTAACATTTTAAGTTGACTAGATGTAATTCTTTTTATATGTTGAATAAGTTTAAAATTTAAAATTCAAAATTCAAAATTCAAAATGTTCCTCAATTTTATAATTTAGTTTTTAAAAATATTTTTTAATTACAATTTAATTTTTAAACAAATTAAAATTATAATAAATTTTTTTATTATCTTCAAGCTGTTTGATCAAACCCTACATAGAAGATTTTGGAAAATCTTGCAACTACTTAGAAAATTAAAAAAAAAAATTATATAGTATGACTGGTTGATCTTTTTATTCATTCTTGGAATTTGGTAGTCTTTACTTCCTGTAATGACATTTCAGGTTTTACAAATATTTTTCGGAGAAAATTAGATTAATCGGTCTCATCTTCAGCAAAACCAGATTCATATTTGGAAATAATTCTACCAATAACCTTAATTACATTACTGCATAATTATTAAAAATATTTTGAAAATAATTATTAATACAAGGTGAAAAAATTACAATAATTGGTATGATAAATTATTAGTTTAATATATTAGAAAAATTGTGAAATTTAATTGGTCTATCGTTAGTATCACAATATAAAATTTTAAAATATTAATGAAGTTTTCCTTTTTAAAAATATAAAAAAAAAAAACTGTTAATTTTTATCCACTCGCTAAATCTCTATTTTATGCCGTGAATAATGGGAGAGAGCGGCGTATGATGATGACTCCGTTTCATACGGATACAAAACTATGCGACTTTATGGCCTTTCGGTTCCCCCGAACGGAACAAAGTTCCTAACAAAAGTAAAACCGGTATGTATAAATAATGTCCACAACACGCATCAACACGTGGCCACATACATTACGTCTACGTCCTCAGAATTCAATCCCCTGCTCTCGCCACACTGCTTCAATCTCTCCCTCAGCCGTTTGATCTTTCATCAACTCCGTTTCACAAAATATCAGCCCTTGGATTCTCGTCAAATCAATTTGGGTGTACGGTGTTTTTAGTATAGAATTCTCTCTCTTTAACGGGCAAAACGAGTGATGCTGCACTGTCGGCGAGCAACACGGTAAGGTCGTAATTGCAGGAATAGTGAAGAGCCACGTGTCTTCTAGGAGCTTCTACAGGTGTACCTACTGTGACGTTTGGCGGGAGCAACGCAGCAGCGGTTATTTCATTATAGTCGTTTTTTAATGTCACTTTAGATATTTGCCCTTTAAAAATAATTAATTAATTGTTTAGATCCATTTGGTAACAGCTGGATCATTCTTCTCTCATCTGTGCCCAACACGTTTCCATGGCACTCCCCTCTCTCTCCCCTCTTTCTTTCTTACTTCCTTCCCCCCAACTTCGCACGAAATTTTTTTTTCCCTCTCGTCTTGGAATTCGAGCGGCTTCCGCTTTGAATTCGAATCCCAAGGTCGTTGTGACTAGAGAACGAGGCAAGAATGGAAAACTGGTCGAGGCTCTGGTACTCATTTTCGCTCTCTGCCTTTTTTCTTCTCTTTTTCCTCCCCTCTTCATTGAAATATGAAGGCATTTGCTTCTTTTTTTCAATTTCAAAACTCTGCTATGCCGTTTTGTTTTGGTTTTGCTTTCTACAATCTGAGTTCGACCTTGAAAGGTTTTCTTGTTTTTCTTGTTTTGCGGTGAATCTTCTGGAGTTGTACGTAGGATTTCCATTATCGCATCTTTCTTATGGTTCCGAATTTGGCGAAAGATTGATGTTTAACATCACTTGTTTGATTAAATGCAAAAGCTAATGCTGCATTTCCGTATTTATATCTGTACGTTCGTTTCTTTTTCCCTAAATTTAATCGCTCTCTCATGTTGGATTTTGCACGATTAGTCTGTATAAGATTCTGTCATCTCGAAGTTTATGGTCTTTTGTACGAACCAAAAAAAAACATAACGCTAGAAGCATCTATTTTTGAAACAAAAACAACATCCATTTCGTTACTCATTCACACATTGCTTTTGTCAAGCTAGAATAAACATCTATTGGCCTCTCTGTCTAGCTTTTTCAGGATTTTTCTTTTAACTGGAGAAATTTGAGTCTGTCACTGACATGGTGGAGATTAGTTGTTTTATATGCCATATAAAAGGACATAAATAGCTCTATGTTGGATTTTGTAGTTGATATTTTGTGGTTAATGATTCTCGGGTTGATAATTTACTTTTTTGTGGCTGAAGGGCATGCTGTGTCTTATCTGCTTCAGAATTATTTTTAACAATAGTGTGTCCGATGAAGTAGTTTAGGTTTTATGAGGTCTCTTTGGAGGTATTGTTCAATGTCATTTACTTTGTCTAAGATGAATCGGTTCGTATTATATGATGTAAATGATGGTCGAATGTTGCAGTGCGGGACTCTGTTTTTGTAACCCAATCAAATGCGGTCATCTCTAACTCCCTTCATAAGATGCATAAAAGGCTTCCGTTTAGTATATGACTCCATGAAGAACGATTAATTTTCCATGTACAATTCACAAGACAGAACAATTTCTACCTTGTCATGGACCATTAAAGATTTCAATGGAGCATAATCCATGCAGTTGCATCTCCCCTAATGCCCTGATTGCTTCTGCTATTTTTTCTTGTATTTGTAGCCACCACATCTTTACAATCTTCTCACCTGCCTATATTTAATCTCAGCATACACTATTTTTCCAGTGCTGCTCATGCGTCTCCTTGTGTTGCGTAACGTTTTTCTTTTTGTGGTTTGTATCAGCATTTGGAAACTAATAATTGTAATGGAAATTATTAGGGTGGTTATATTATTCAAAAGTTTTGCAGGGGTTTGTTAAGTAGGCAAATACTATAGAGCTTAAAATTTTATAATCATTTAGTGCATGTTTTCAGGTCTATGCTGTTTGTGAAAATTTCTACATGTACTGTTATATTTTTACATGATCTTGTTTCCAGCGTACCCATCATTGCTTGTGCATTCAGTTGATATGATTCCAAATATACCCTTTAGGCTCCTGCCTTGGTCTGTCTTCTTCAACTTAATAAAAAAAAAGTCCGGAACATGAATTTGCAGCTCAAAAGTATCTGCAGCTCAGATGGAATTCTAACTTTGAATGCAGGCCAAGCATGGGATAACCTGTTTGGAACTTCCCCTAATTCAGCATGCACAGGGTCCTGATTTGCATCGGCTTTCTTCCGTATTAAATGGTGAGTTTCCAATATGACACAGAAGTGGTAAATTCCAGAACTTTGTGGATTAACTTGATAAGAGTGAGAAATCACTTAATGTGCATGTAGACAGTTATATTCTGTCATAATTAAGGTAGCATGGACGGACCCCGGGCATCCGTCATTGCAGTAAATTCTCATTTGAACACATATATATTGCTGGGATCGCATAAGCCTTGCCAGACAGTCCCTTTTAATTTCTTCAAAAGATGTTAATCTTTTGCTTGCTTGTCAAGCCTTGTTCACTGTTGGCTAAGGAACTCTAATTGACCAATTTTTTATATTTGGATTAGACTTATTTTAAATCACAATAGGTCCAGGCAGTCCAGATGATGACCTTGTATTTGAATCATCATACCGTTATTGTGCATGCCTTTTTTTTGTCATATCTCCTACATTAATTTGATTTTGCAAAAGTGATTTTCATACATGGTAAAAATCACTTTTTCCATATATTTTGAAATAATATAGACCCTTTGTACATGATTATTGTAGTCAGATCATGTTTGTTAATGTAATTAATGTTTCTTTTGCAATTGAGCTCTAGACTACAAGTAAGAATTTTTTTAACTTAATTTCTACTTGTTGTTTTCTGGACATGGCAGCAGATACTGCATTTGACTGGATTATCATAACATCCCCTGAAGCGGGGACAGTTTTTCTGGAAGCATGGAAGTAAGGGTTAAAGCTATCTCGCATGAATCGGTTCTCATTTCTGTACATTGAGTGGTCTCTGCTGTTTCAGCCAAAGTATTTTCTCGCGTGTTTTTGGTTGCCATTTAATTAAGAAAAAGGTCTTCTTTTTCAAGTCCTGCATGATCATCTTCATTTAAAAACGTCTGGAACACCTTTTTACGTGGAATATTTTTCTATCTGGACTCTAGTGCTTTCCAGACTTTTCTGTTTTTGCTTTGAGAAGTTTTCTATGCCTGAGCTTGACTATAATTATGATTAACGGTTTGTTTCTTCTGAATGTGAAATTCAACTTTTGACTTCATAAATTTGTTGTCTACTTAGTGAAAGAGGTTTATGGTCTGCCTTTTCTGGCCCTAAATCATTACTTTTGCTTTATATAATAAAATTTTCTCGTTAATTTTGGTTCTTAGGGCAGCTGGAACCCCAAATGTTAAGGTTGGTGTCGTGGGAGCTGGTACAGCATGCATTTTTGAGGAAGTAATGCAATCAAGGCAATCACTTGATCTGGCCTTTGTCCCATCAAAAGGTACTTGTTTGTTACCATGCATGCGTATGCCAGTAGAGTTTATACTGATCACAGCATTTTGTTTTGCCTGTTTCCCTTTATCTTACACTGAAATCTTTGGACTCTGATGTTTGAGAGTTCTTCTTGCCAATGAAATGGAGAAGAGACAATAAATTCATTATTATTCTTTTGTTTAGACATTTCTAAAGTACATTCCTGATTTCTAGTTCAGACTGCAAAAGTCAAGTCCAGTTGCATCAACACAATCAATCTGCCCCTTGGTTTTTGGAATATGCTTTTGAAGTTGCTTTATTTTTGCAGATGAATTTGCACTTTGATGTTTGCAAATTTTTGTTTAACCTATAAGTATTCTACTAGGCAACTGAGTTATTGTTTTAGTAAATATCATGGTTGTAGCTGTTGGTTCTTAAGACATCTATCGTTATGTTAATTTTCTTTTTCTATTATTCAGCAACAGGTCAAGTTTTGGCTTCAGAGCTTCCAAAGAAAGGGAATAAAAGATGCACTGTTCTATATCCTGCTTCTCTGAAAGCAAGTAATGAGATTGGTATGTGAATGGCATCATTTTGATTTCCTTGATAAACATTTTGTTTCACGCGTCTTAGTGCTTTCAAGGCTCATATCTGGTCAAGTGGCTGTAGTAATTATTTATAGAATGAGGCTGAATAACCTTCTAGAGAATCTATATTTGGCTTCCCCGCCCACTTGTATTCCAAAGTTCTATAGTATGTAAACTTATTCATTCAAAATATCAGAGGCATATTGCTTTTGCACTTTTTTAATCATTGTGCTTGGAGTCAGGAAGCTTGTTTGGTACATGAACTGCAAACACCTGAAATTTTGTTAATTCTATGATCCATTCTTCTCAGTTGTATAACTCTAGTTTAGTGTCTTCATTGTCTGATGAAACAGGGATACCTTTTAGCTTTGACATTTAGCCAACTGTTATAATGCATCTCTGTCACTTTTCATTTTGTTGGTGCCAGCCAACCCTTGTAAAATATGTTTTTCATCACTTTTGGTAGTGCTTGACATCTAAATCTCCCTATGCATGAGAAAATCTCAGAAATAATCTTACCTTTGAATTTTGGGATATTTGCCGCAGAGGAAGGTCTATCAACTCGTGGATTTGAGGTTGTCAGGCTTAACACATATACAACTGTAAGTGTTGTTTTTTTTTTCCAATATCAAAGTTGTGTGCGGAAGACTTTTGTATGGTTGTGATGAGGTTGATGATCTTAGGTGACTCCACTTCTTTTCCTTGCTTTATCTCACAATGCTCTAGTTTCATTGTTCTACATCTTGCCCTGTTCATGCACCCTTGAGTGTTTCACATTTGAAGATTAGGTTCTCATATTTGGCCTCTAACACTACATAATCTACTGCAGTTGTAATTTTAGGCTTGTATGTTTAACTGCTAGTTGAGCAGGATGTTGGACTCTGGGTAATTACAGTAGTCACAGCAGTCAGTCCATAACCTTTACCATTTCTTTTCAGGTTCCTGTTCATCATGTGGATCAGATAGTTTTTCAGGAGGCACTTTCTGTACCTGTTGTTGCAGTTGCTTCACCTTCTGCAGTCCGGTAAGCAGTCTTTTGAATTTCTGAAACATGTACTGTACTAGAAGGTCTCATATCTTTCAATTACAGCATTCTAGATTAGTTCACCAGTCTGCTAACTTAATCAATCATCAGTAAATGTGCCAACAAAATGTTGTTTGGTGATAGTGAGGCAGTGGAGCAGGACTTAATCTAACTTTCCCGACAATCTTGACCTTGAATCACTCCTTGGTCTATGCAATTAATCATTTATCTTTTGCTACCTACCGTGGTTGATGATGATGGTCCTCAATCCTTCTTCATTCATTTTGATGGAATAATAGTCATGGGAAGGACATAATTCTAATTGGATGCTCCCCTGCTGCTACAGGGCTTGGTTCAAGCTTATTTCAGCATCAAAGGGATGGAACAATTCAGTTGCCTGTATTGGCGAGACAACTGCTTCAGCTGCAAAAAGATTAGGGTTGAAAAATGTGTACTACCCAATGCAACCTGGTTTTGAAGGGTAACTTACTCTTTTTGGAAGTTTCTTCTCATGGCAATGTTTATGGTACATACAATGAATCCTAATCTGGGTGCTACCAGCATGGTTCTAGTTGTGTCATCACTTTGTTATGTGCACAACTTTTATGCCATTATAAACTGTATTGTGGAAATGCACTGTCTCTAAAATATAATTTCCCTAATGCTTTTGTAGCTGAGTTTTTGTTTGATAGAATGCTTATTATTGTATGATTTCCCTAATATTTTATTTTGATATTGTAATTTTTGTTTCATTATGTTTACATCCTGTTTTGGTGGCTATGTGCCAGACAATTATTCGAATATGATGGATATGGTTGCATCTATTTATTTTAGTGGCAGGCCAATGTAATGTGAAGATACCTGTGATTAAATATAGAATCTATTTGGTATTTGTCACTGATAGCATATAAATATTAATGTTCTGTTATTTTCTGTCACTGAAGTTTTAGGAAAACTGGTTGCTCAATTGATTATTTAGTATGAGTTTTTGGAGCTTAGGTCCTATGTTTAAGTCAAGGGAGATATTATTCACTTGTTTGTTGCCTATAATTGGGTCTGCATGCAAAGCCTGTTAATCTCTCTTTGCTTTGCTTCCATTTTGAGGGTTTACAAGTATAAGCTTGTTATCTTATCTCCATATGAGGGAAAGTACCAATATATAAGTTATAAAGTTGGGTTTTTTCTTATCTCAAAAGAAAAAAAAGTGGGGCTTTTTCTATTATCATAAGGCTTTAAGCTTCTGTCATGAAGTATTATGTCTGGTTTGCTAAAGTTTCTTAAGGTGAGCATCTTTTTCCATTTCTTCTGTTTCCTCTTTTAATTAGCAGTTTACTCATGTATAACCAGATAGCTATGTGCGAATTTTGTGCATGAAGAATAGCCACTTTATTATGGATTTCTGTGACTTTGATTGTCTGTTTAGATATCTATTTTATTTGTTTTTCTGTTATAATCCAATGTTTTTTGGCCTTTATTAGGCTTTGGAAGCAAGTTCTTCACTGCTGATTCTTTTAGCTGTTAGCTTGTTAACTTTCTATTTGATAGTTCCTGTTAGTTGGCTGCTTTCTATTTGGGAAATTGAAGTAATTATTCCTCTGTCACTCTTGGTTGGGGCAGTAAGGTTGAGCCAAGGATCTGAAACTTTGATGTCAAGTTAAATAATTAGTGGAGTTGCAAATCTATCTCATAAGCTTAAGTTACTAGAAAAATTTCCTGACTTTTCTATATACATTCTAATAGACTGAGTGATGAATTTATGCAACACTATTCATATCTTCTAGATCTATTCTTTTCATTGAAGGTTAAATTCCAAGAGCTATTTGCCTTTTACGCTTTAGAAGCAAGTCCTAACCTCCTTTTTTCAGTTGTTAACTTGTGGAATTTCTATTGAATAAATTGAGGTGGTGATATTGCTTTTGGTTGGCAGGTGGGTTGCTAGCATTCTTGAAGCCTTAAGAGCACATGACCAGTTGTAGGAGCTGAAATAATTCAAGTAGCCTTTTGTCCTCCCTACCATTCACTTTAAGTATGTGACTTGTCTAATTTATTTGTAATAATTCATAATTCACTTGTTTTCTCTAATTTCCTTCTAGAAGTTGGTAGGATGATGAAGTGCTAAAAGGTGCAAGAATGAGTTCGTGCTAGAAATGCAGAAGATATGGTGATACTCTGCCTCAAAAAGCTGCAATAAGAGGGAAATACTCGACTCAGCAAAAGGATGATAATGTTGCAAATGCAAGACCGGAAAGGTACGAAAAGTTTTGTCATCTTGGTCATATCATGTCCAGCTGGCAAAAGTCTCCCTCGGGGCTAGTGAAGAGGCTGGTTTAGTTGGTCTTGCAAAAGACAGCTTCTCAGCTTGTATATGCATCTTTCTCCATGTAAGTTTTTGATGTAGCACCTTCTATAAGATTTGGAGATATCTGTTCTTGTAGGGGGTAGGAATACGCTCTTAGCACTATTATTAGTTAGATTTCCTATTTATTGCTATTTCTTATTGGGCACTTATAATAGGATACTTAGAAAACCTATAAGTAGGTGTCCAGTG